ATGTGACTCCACAGCCATTTGGCTGACTCCTAATTGCCCTCTAGATAGTTAGGGATGGACAATAAATGTGCGCATGAATAAACAAAAAAATGGCAACAAAAGGAGGGAGTGGCTAAACTTGAAAGAGCTGGCACAGGCACTAGGGCTGAATGACTTCCTTGTGTGATGTATTACCCTACGATTCTAAGAATTGTCTAAAGTGAACAGATTTGTTGTTGTTTGCCATCTTGGGCAGTGGTGTGTTACAAGGTTTCAAGCCAAAAATTGCCCGAATTGTTAGCTGTGGCTGAAATTAACGATCAGTTTAATTTCCATGACCTCCCCTGAAAGGAACGATGAAAGGTGCTATTGTAGACCACAGTACACACAACCATGATTGCAAGTTATTAACGCTTTGCGTATGGCAGCAGCAATTTTGCAACGAAACAGCAAACAAGGATGACCGATACCAGAGACTGATTACTAATAAGGGTTAAGTGGCACTCTATGCAGGGCAGTAGCAGAGCAAGGGGCCGAGGTCATGCAAAACAGTGAGTGGGAAACTGGGCCACATTACAAAGGGAATGGAAAACTCAAGTTGATGAACTCCGTGCTGTCTGAAACTGCTTAATGTTTTAATTATTTTCAAGCACAAGCATTTGAACTTCCTGGGAATTGGTGACTACATTTCAAAAGTACCCCATTGGTCAGACAGCACTTCAAGGTGGTTGTTAAAGGCACTATATAAATGCAACTCTTGCTCTCAAATTCACAGCAGCTCTAGGGAACAAAGGGCAGGAGAACTGAGCAGTCACAAAGCTGGACCTTCACCAAAGGGAAAATGATGCATAGGCCTGTAGGGGAGGTGATGCCTCTGGTGGGGGTTTGGAGGGGGTATCCTGGTAAGGAAGATTCCAATTTAAAGGAGGCTTTGAAGGACATTGCATCTCCTTTTCCACCCAAGCTAGCTGGTCTCCTGGACCTCCCATCATTTTAGGACCACCCGACACTTTGTCCACCGTCCCCCCCACCACCCCGATCAAACGGTGGCCATGCTGGGGGTAGGGTGAATCAGTGACAGGAAATGTACGGTCAGCGTTTTACCATGGTTCCCCAAATTTCTCCAGCGGGAGGACTGTAAAATTCTGCCCAAGGGCAAGTTACAGCGTTCCAACATGTGACACAAACTGTGGTATTCCATTCTGTGACCGTATCAGTGTCACCAAGCTCTGACAGACTGCATGGTGTTGCTTGGGGTATCCCCTGCACGGTACAGGAAAATTCATGGCATACTTCGGGATTGGGTGGTGCTAGCTATTCAAAAACAGCTGGTCATCCCATTGCAGCTCACGTTGACAGTCGGAATCAAACCAAAACACAGTGTGGTAAATGGCAATGTGCAGGAACTCGGAGCTGCTCCATCTGTCACTTTATTCACTGTTAACATGGAGAGGAAACACTTCAACTCAGACGGTTTCTTTACAACCAATTCAGACTGATCACTTCGGTATTTTATTTTATTTATTCATTCATGGGATGAGGGCATCGCTGGCTAGGCAGCATTTATTACCCATCCCTAATTGCCCAGAGGGCAGTGAAGAGTCAACCACATTGCTGTGGCTCCGGAGACACATGTAGGTCAAACCAGGTAAGGATTGCAGTTTCCTTCCCTAAAGGACATTAGTGAACCAGATGGGTTTTTCCTGACAATCGATTCACGGTCATCATTAGATTCTTAATTCCAGATATTTATTGAATTCAAATTCCACCATCTGCCACAGTGCGATTTGAAACCGGGTCCCCAGAACATTATCTGGGTCTCTGGATTAACAGTACAGCGATAATACCACTAGGCCATTGCCTCCCTGTTGTATTTAGTAACAGTGACACCTTGAAAGCAAGGGCATGCCAGAGATTTCGACCAGTGGAATATTCTGAGGAACGGTCACTGGACCTGAAATGTTTCTGATTTCTTTCCACAGAGGCTGCTGAGCTTTCTCGGCAACCTCTGTTTTTGAGAGTTGAATATTCTGGTTGGTGAGGTATGTGTGACAGGGAGTTTACTGTATTACAGCATTCTAAAGTTCGCAAAGTGACAGTATTAGTATTCTGCGAAACATGCTCGAATATTTTCATCAACTGAAGTTTGCTACCAGAATGTATGGGGTGGTAAGAGGCCAGTATCAGTTTCCTTGTGAATTAGAAATATGTCACTGAGACCCTGGTGTCAAAATCTCCATTGTTCAGGAGACCTCACTCTGCATTCCTTGTGCCCCTATAAAATGTGAATTAGTAACGCACTGTATCTACATTCTTCAGCTGACCTTTCAAGAACTGAGAAGAGGAGTTTGAGTGGTCAAAGCAAGGATAGCTGCTCGCATTTTACTCCCTGCCTTAAATTATTGTGATATATGCAGGCTGTCATTTCTCATCTGTCCCTCTATCCTTTTCCAGACATTTCCTCCAGTATCGATCATTGCAATGAGTTTACAGTCCATGTTTGCCTGCAATGCAAGAGCTTATTTCAATCATTAGAAGAAGATAATGTGAACTATTGGAGGAGGTCAACGCTTCACCAATGGCCAACCCTTATCTCGGCAGTAACTGGGAAATCTGTACAAAGTGAGTGGCCACACCACAACTACCAAAATCACATTTTCATAGCTGGGCTGCCAGTCTTTCCCGGTTATTCCAAGACTATATCATGATAATCAGGCTTCAATACAAACTATCCTTATTAGTCCTGTTTGTTCCTGGGGACTTATCCAAGGAATTCAGCACTCAGTGGGTTAAACTGTGATTCCCCAGGGACTGCTGTTTGCCAGAGCTGCAAGTTAACCTTCCTTGTAAAACCTATATCTCACATGGTAAGATCAATGGTGTTAGGGCCCCCTCAGCTTGATCTTGCCTTCCCTGTAACTAGGGGCACGAACCTTTCCAAGACCCTATCAAACACTATATATAGCACTAATTAGACAGAAGGGGCTTATCGCCAGGAGAGAGGGAGAGTCTCACACTATGCTCTGCAGACCTCCCAGATCCCCACTCGACAGAAGGAATTCTTGTTATCAGCTTCCACAATAAACAGCATAAATCTCTGGGAAGCACAGCATCAGGACAATCTTACAGCAGCTTGGAGATTAGACACTGAAATGTTGATGATGTAATGGCTTTCCAAAGGAGGATGTATATTATTGTAGCATGAGCTTCAGCAGAGTCAGCTTGTCTCTATCCTCCTCACCCTACCCTGGGCAGACACTAACAGAGAAATGGTTATGGACATTTAAGAGATAATCTTCCAGTTGAGTTGGGAGCCTCAAGCAAACAGAATTTGACACTGAGCCCCATTAGGGGATATTTGCACAGGTGACCAAAAACCTTTTACAAAAAGAGACAAGCTTGAATGAGTGCCTTAAAAGGGGCAGAGGAAGGTCGAGCGGTGAAGAGATTTAGGGAGGGAATTTAAAAAAAATAACTAAAGCCTTGCACATTTGTCGATGGGGAGGTGGTTAAAATCAGGGACATGTGAGAGACTGGAAATCAAGTAGTTCAGAGATTGTGGAGGAGGGTGTAGGACTGTGACAGGTAGAGAAAGGTGAGCCCACATGTATTCGGATAACACGGCCCTTTCCTTCCTGTCCCTTTGGCAGGAAATTGTAGGCAGGTCATTGAATACACACAGCCATCAGGTGAAGTGTCATGTAGCTGGTACAAACTTAAAAACAGAAACTTGAAAAACTTGAAAAGAGCATATTTCCACTTTTCAATATCTCACAGATAAAGGTTTTTGGTCCATATTCCAACTCCAGCTGTGATGATTTCCACCATGTTTCTCTTCATCACCCCTGATCAACGCTATCCCCCAGCCTGATCTCCATCTCTCTTCATATCCGTGCCTAATAAACATTAAATTTAAAAAATACACAAAATGCTGGAAAAAACCCAACAGCTCTGGCAGCATCCATGGAGGGAGAAACCAAGTTAACATTGAGTCCTGTAGGACTCTTCTTCTGAACAATAATAAACATGAGCTGACCCTGGTCTTGAAAATTTGAACTGAGTGGAAATATCCATAGCCTTTAGCAGCAGAGATGGAGACAGGGATGGGAACAGTTCTCAGTTTCTAGTAGCCTTGTACGTTTCATGATTTTACTCCATGTAGGCCTACATGGGAGGTAGCTATAAAGGTTTCCACAGTATTTGATCCACAGAAGCTGTCTATATCAGCTTTATAATACTGGAACATGGGACAGTAAAGCGATGGCCTGAACAGCAGGTCAATACAACCTTACTCAGTTGGGAGTGTACTGCAGGTTGGAGAGGCAATGTCTGACAAACTGAACCAAAACTGCAAAGAGGTTTAAAACATAACCATGTGCTATTCAACGCTTCATGTTGCTTGGCAGACAGATTCTTTTGACTAATCCTGAGGACGCTTTTGACAGCATGCGCTAATTTGAAATGATCTCACCCACTGCTAACAAATAAAACACACAGGCCCGGGCTTCCTGGATTAGAAGCAAAATACCATCGCCAGCCCTATCCTGGGCACCTCACTATCAGAAAACACCATCGCTATTTCTCATTCTCTTCTCCAGCTCCCACAATCAGGTTGCCAACGAGTGTCAAATCATGCATTGTATCATGGACCGCCTCACTCAGAGCTGGATTGAACTAAATTTATGAACAAAATTGCTGGAAAAGCGCAGCAGCTCTGGCAGCATCTGTGAAGAAAAATCAGAGTTAATGTTTCGGGTCCAATGGCCCTTCCTCAGAACTGAACTAAATTTATGTTGGATTTTTACAAGCACTGCAGAGATTCCATTGTTAATCACTTAGTCTGCACTCCTACCCACGCCTTGGATATAAAGGAACAGAATGTTAATCCACAGCAGCTTCCAGCTCCTATTTTCCTGCTCTGCACCCTGTCCCAGTCAATATAGTATAGGCTGCAACACTGTACAGTGTAACTTTCCATCAACGGTTGACCGTTCAGAAAATGCATGTGAGGTAGCCCTTACCCTGTTGAAAATTGATGTGGCAATGTATGCACAGCGTGGATGGAAGGCTCCAGTCCCACAAACGTATAGGTGAGTTTGGTTGTAGAAGTGGAGGACCCTCAGGAAGTTGCCACAGTCCAGCTGCAAAGAAATCAGGAGGCTCCAGTTACTTTCCAACATCTACTGACCAACAAAACCCCTCAGACTATAGCTGAGCCCAATGTTTAACTTCACTTTAAAACTAACAGATATGAATTGTGCATTTTACAATTGTTAATTTGATTGGTTTCAGCCTTGTGTAGCAACATTCACCTTGCTTTACCTATATTTCATTATAAATAGGAACTTCTATTTTTTTTTCAGGGGATGTGGGTGTCAATGGCTGGCCAGCATTTGATTCTCATCACCATTTGCCCTTGAGGTGGTGGTGGTGAGGAGCCTTTTGAACTGCTGCAGTCTATGTGCTGTACGTTGACCTACAATGCCCTTATGGAAGGAAAGTTGTTGGAACTGCACCCATCCAGGCAAGTGCAAGTGGGGAGTATTCCATCACACTCCTAACTTGTGCCTTGTAGATAGTGGACAGGCTTTGGGGAGTCAGGTGAGTTAGTCACTGCAGTATTCCTAGCCTCTGACCTGTCCTTGAAGCCACTGTATTTATGACTCACCCAGCACAGTTTTAGTCAGTAGTAACCTCAGGATATTGGAAATGTGGGATTCAGATGTTAATGTCATTGAATGTCAAGGGGTGATGGTTTGATTGGCTCTTGTTGGGCATGGCCATTGCCTGGCACTTGAGTGATGTGAATGTTACTTGCTACTTATCAGCCCAAGCCTGGATAGTGTCCAGGTCTTGTTCATACATGCTCATCAACTGCTTCAGTGTCTGTGGAGTCATGAATGGTTCTAAACATTGTACAATCGTCAGTGCTCATGTCCTCTTTTGACAATATGCAGAATTGAAGGAAACAGCTGAAAATTGTTTAGCTGAAGATATTACCCTGAGGAATTTAAGGGTTCTTGTGGTGCAGTGGCAGTGTCCCTACTCCTGGTCCAGAAGACCTGGATTCAAGTCCCACCTGCTCCAGAGGTGAGTAACAGCTCTGGACAGGTTGAATGGAAAATACATACCCTGAGGAATTTCTGCAACAGCATCCTGAGGCAGGAATAGACCATTCAAACCAATACCTGTCTTTCATCTGTCCCTGTTCCCTGAGCTCACAAGTATCTATCAATCTTAGCTAATGATCCTATTGTTCATAGCCTTTTAAGACAGGATTTTAGGGGACAGAACTTTAAAATTAGTGCAATTTCATATCCCAACTACATTTTAGAAAAGGCTAAAGAGAGAGCGATACTTTTAAAACAAAAACATTTCTGCATTGTTCTGGGCAAATGTAACAGGAAAGCAACCTTTTAAATTTTAAATTACTTCTCCTATCTTTCTTCAACGCAACTTTATAGGATGCAAATGGAGGGATTCCATGAAATGAACTAACAGCATGCTAATCTATTTGACTGCATGGTACATCAATGCTGTTAAAAATGTTCATTGATTATTCAATATTTTCTTTGTTATAGAATCCAAATCTTTAGGATCCCACGCACAAATCTGCAAAAAGACTTGGTTTTAGAATCACTACAAAATTTAACTTTACAAGATTATAATATTTCAAAATGTCTCCTTCGTTAAATGGAATATTTTGAAAATGGTGAGGACATTCCAAGCACCTCTATATTGTTTTTGTTGCTACGGGGGTCAAAACTTAAACTGAAACTTACTGAATATCACATGAGTGTTTTGGTATCTTGAATTTTGCTAATGAAACAAGAAACAAAACAGCTAGTACTGTGCAGTGCAAAATAAGACTGTTTTTTGATAGCAAGTAAGCAAAATGCTGATTTTCTGTTTTAAGGTAGAGCAGAATGAATGAGATTTCTGGGAAATTTAATGAACAAAGAGATGCCGAGGTGGGTCTTGCTGGTGGGAGTCAGTTCTGGAAAGAGTCAGCAGAGTGGAGTGGTTGTTGAAGGATACTGAAAGGCATGACAGGGAGAAAACATGATCCTGTTGGAACTTTGGGAGTCATTTGGTCATACAGCACAACTTGGAACTTTGCCATGTAATGCTGTACATCTGCCAGAGTGTGGTGTACAGAAACAGCTTTAAAAGAATTATCTTGATTGGTTTAATCAGTTCATACAGAAATAATTTGGTGCATTAACTGCCAGTTAAATAATGTTTGTTGCTTTTAGATTTTTTTTGTTACATTAAACGTCTTAAATCATAAAATCACATCTTATTTCCATTAGTGTCTGAGAAAATCACCTTATTTTTTAATCCCCAGAAGTTAGCAGACTCTACAGGATTACAACAGTTTCCCAGTTTCATATTCTGATTGCCAGCATCTCCTAATGGCGACATGCTATAAGTGGAGTTAAAGTCAGGGAAATAATTGGATAAATGTTTTTAAAAAAGATTTGTTTTAATAAGCACTAAAACTGTCAGAGGCAGGGAAGTTGATCATTGCTATTAGGCAGCAATACATAGGATCATTGCTTCACTACATTGAGTACGTCATTTCAGAAGGAACAACCCTTTCAACTTGAAACTTCATGGTGGGATGTTTCTCAGTGCTGTATGTAAATAAAATGCTTGGAAACAATAGAGATCAGAGGCAAAGAGAATCAACAGACTAGGGCTGAGACATACTGCAACTCAGCTTAAAAGCTGTGGGGTACAAGGCTATGATTGTTCTCCAGGAAAATTATCACTCTATTACTCCCTAGTGGGATGTCTAAGAGAGTTCTTCAGAAGTTATGCCACAGAAAATGGAGCCTACTCTGCACCTAGCTATTATGATACATTAAACCATACTTGATGCTGGCACTGAATGCTTCATTCTCCAGCACTAATATCACTCAGTGTCATAAATATAAAAACAAATTCTCTTTCAAGTAATGAGCAGAGGTTCTAATAGTCACTGCTGCTCTTTGGTGTAAATTTAACTTATATAGTACAGTTGGAGGAAAGAGTTCTCCGTTCTATGTTGTTGTTAAGTTTCTATTTGAAAACATATGCCATTTGCAAATACTCACGTCAGGGTCCTTCCCAGCCATTTTACATTCAGCTATTCTTTCAGGGGTAGCCGGCCAGTATAACTGGAGGAAAAAAGGACAATATTTATGTACTTATTAATACGTTGGAAGCTAGGGTAGCATAATCATCCAGAAAATGCAAGCCTAAATTCAACCACGGCAGATTGAAGATTTAAATTCAGCATTTGAAGATCCGTAGTTAAATGTTGGTATTGACAATTGTTTTGGGAGTGCTGTAAAAATTGGCCCCCTCTGGTGAAGACAATTTGTCGTCCTCTCTCAGTCTATTGCATTTGTGATTATCTTCCTCCATCAAACATGGCTGACTCTTAACTGCCCCTGAGGTTTCCCATCAAACCATTCAGAGTCAAAGTGAAGCCATTCAAGATTAAAGTTTCTCCACTACCACACAATCCCCAACCACCATTTCTCAGAGCAACCAATAAATGGCTGACTTTGCCATATTCTGAGAATGAATTAAAAAGAAAGAAGTTTGTGTCTGGTGTCTTACAAATAATGATTGCTATTTACAATGGAATTGCAATAGTGCCATTAAAGTTTGACCCTCTCCTGGTATTGTATTGGCACTGATGTGTCACCAAACATAAGGAAGGCAGATCCGAATGCTTCCTTAGAGCAATGACTATTCCATGCCTCACCAGCTACAGACGGGCATGTTACAAGGTAATAGACGCCACCAACATCAGCAACTTTAAAACAATTAGCCTTGGTGTAATTCTGGCTTTGGTGGATATTGCGAAATTCAGATTCAGATTACACCATATCTGAGGCAGGCACACTTGGCATTACCCTTCCAGTAGACCGCTATCTCTCACCTCTCTGAGACAAACACAAAAGTACCCAGTGCCACACTGCATCCCTTGTAAAATCAACAATGCGTCAGGTCTACCCACAGGTATCTGAATTTATTTAGTTTTTCATGCACTAACTTGAACCATGAAATACTCAGGTACTTAATCAGATCAAACCAACAGAGATAGTGACAGTGTTGAAACTGAGAATGTCTGGAATGAGCGGTGCTGGTGATTTAGATTTTGTTGAGTTGGAGGTTTTGCTGTCCAGACATATTCCAGCGCAGAGAGTTCAGAGTCAACGTCAACAACCCCCATTCAGCATCACTATCTCATTCTTCACATCATTGCTGCTCGTGGGGGAGGAACCTGTTTGCTGTTCAAGTCACAAATCACACTCCTGCCATGAAGGGAGCCAACAGATCACAAATCAATGCAATAGATTTTAGCCTTCGCTGATAGTGGCTACTTCAGAATTACAGGTCAGCTGCTTCATTTTTAATTCAAGCTGCTGTTGAACATTATGCCCGGAGACTGTACAGTGCAAGAAATGTTGCAGAATGTAAGATGAGTAGCTGATCATTGGGGCTAGGCCTATAATCCAGCAGTGAGGTTAAATACGCATACAACATGGATTCATCTGTTGATGATTTGATTCATCATCGTGCCAGTCCATTGTTATTCACTCAGACACAGCATCATAAGGGAATTGGAGAATCCCTCGTAAACAATGATTACAGCAAAGTTTATAAATTTTCACTGGCTGTCGATTTCAGTCATCAGACTGTGGAGATCCATAGCCAGACACCGGACAACCTGAGGGCAGGGCCTTGTCACCATAGCGATGGCATATGGCGAGCAGAAGAGACGGGCTTTGTGGTAGCTCGTTGGTTTGAAGCTGGCCTTAAGCCTAACCCCACTTGAAAACTTCGGTCAAATCACACTTTGGCCTTCTAAATTCCAAAGAATACAGCTTTAATTTGTGTAATTTATCCTTGTACTTTTACTTTCAAAGGCCAGGTATCATTCTGATAAACCTTTGCTTCTTCTAAATCCAACATGTGGTTGCTAAGATGTGATCCCCAGCACTGCTCACAATACGCCAGGCCTGAAAAAATCATTAGTTCTCCGAGAATGGAGTGAGTAGGATAGATAAAAAAGAGAACCAGTAGATACATGCACTGCAACACAATATGCAACGGAAGAGTTGCATATTATTTTATTAAACGGAGAAAGACTGTGGAAAGCAGAGAGAGATTTTGGGAGTCCTTGTGCATGAGTCACAAGAAGCTAGCTTTCAAGTTCAGTGGGTTATAGGGAAGACAAATGGTTGTTATTGCAAAGGGAATGGAGCATAAAAACAAGAAAGTCTTGCTAAAACTATACAAGACACTAGTCAGAAGACACCTGGGATGCTGTGAATACTTGGATATCAAGAAGGCTTTCAATAAGGTTCAACACATAATAAGATAAGAACTCATAGTGAGGTGGTACTTTAACAAAGATGGGAAATTGGCTAACAAATAGAAGACTGAGAGTTTGAATAAAGGGGACATTTTCAGGATGGCAGCCTGTATCTACTGAAGTGCCTAGGGATCAGTGCTGGGGTCACAATTATTTACAATATATATTAATGATTTAGATGAGAAAAACCTAATGTACTACAGTCACGTTTGCAAATAACACAAAAATAGATGGGAACATAAGTAATGAAGATGATACAAGGAGTCTACAGAGGGATATGAACAGGTTAAGTGAGTGGACAAAAATGTGGCAGATGGTATATAATGTGGGAAATTGAGATGTTCTGCACTCTAGCAAGAAGAACAGAAGAGCTTAATATTATTTAAATGGGGAAAGACTGAGAAAGCTGCAGCAGAGAGAAATTTTGGGAGTTCTCGCGCATGAACCACAAGAAGTTAGCATTCAAGTTCGGTGGGTAATAGGGAAGGAAAATAACCATTATTACAAAAGGGAATGAAGCAGAAAAAGAGGGAAGTCTTGCAAAAACTATATGACACTAATCAGACCACAACTGGAATACTGAGAATAGTTCTGGACCCCTTAACTATGGAAAAATATGGCATTAGAGGCAGCCCTGCAAAGATTAACTAGTTTGATCTCCAGTATGGAGGGATTTTCTTAGGAGGAGAGGTTGAGTAGGTTGATATTGTATTCAAAGTTTAGCAGTATGAGAAGTGACTTTACAGAAACATTTAAGCTTATTTAGGGGGTTTGACAGAGTAGATATGGAGAATTTATTTCCCCTTGTGGGAGAATCCGAACCAGAGGGTACAATCTCAAACCAAGAGGTCACCACTTAAGACAGAGATGAGGAGGAATCAAGAGTCATAGGGATAAGGAGGGAGAGTGAAGTTGAGGATTATTAGATCATCCCAAGACATTATTGAATGATGGAGCAGACATGACAGGCTGAACGGTCTATTTCCGCTCGTTCATTTTATTGTCTCGTTTTGTGGCCTGGCTAGGATTTTGCAAAGCTGAAACATATGTTCTGTTACCAATATCCTGCCCCTCTAGACAAAAAGGCCGGTATTCCATTTACCTTTTTGATTCATTTCTATACCTGTTCAAAACATTTTACTGAGCTATTTACCTAGACAGTCAAGTCTCTTTAAACCCTCACTGTTTCTACCTTTACACTTTGTAAAAAAAGTGTCTCTGCTTTGCCTCTTAGGTGTAAATAGATATCCTCACATTGGCCTGCATAAAAATCTTTAAAGTCTCAGTGTTTCTGATGCTCAGAGAAGGATCACAATCCCATAACATTTAAAGTGCGCACCATTGTTAGGGTGGAGGTTGGGATCAAATGCAAATGTTTCCTTATTGCTTTGCTTTTCCAAGACACATTTTTCAACAACAACTTACTAATAGGAGCCATTAACCTCGTCTTCTGATACACAGCTTTAATATCAGACTCAACTGAATTGGAAATGACCTTTCCCAGTGGAAGTCAATGGGTCTATAATTGGCAGCAATTACATTTAATGGGCTGCAGGAATCAAGTCCTGACAACGTAGGATGTACATTCAGACAGTCCCAGGAGCCACATTTCAAACAGCTTTGTTTGCATGCAGTTACTATGCCTGTGCGTACCTGCTGGACGAAATATACCCTTTTATCAGTTTATCGTATCAATTCACTGTCATCATTGGTCGTCCTCACTCATCGCATAACCAAAGTGCCTCAGAGGAATTACTTGGTCCAATTTGGCTCATTCTTACCATGAAACCCGAACTTAGCTTGACCTAATAAAGTCATTCCCTCTGGTACAGTGTCAGTGTTAACATTTCACCCAATAATTCTTTATCATTATTGCAAGTAAATGCTTGGAAACTGGAACAGAGAGCTGCTAGGGTAAAACTCTTCCTTACCAAGCATCAAAATATTGATCAAACTACATTGCTAGCTTTATAATCCCTGTTTGCTTTGTTTGTAATTAAACACCAAGTGGAGAGGGTCAAATACCAGTATCGAAATACCACAGAAGCAGGGCATCCCTACCATCACTTAAACATGGAGAAAAAAGCTATATGCCACCAATTGATCAGCAGGGTATAACCAGATACTACCAGGCGATTGCATATTTACCCCCAGATGACTGGCAGGAACCACATACAACCTAATGATTGTGCATATATCAACATATGCCCTCTTTTACTTGCTAAATTGTCATTCAGAAAATTGATGTTCCTGCCCACAGGTTTTAAAAACAGGAAGTACATTATGAGAGTCAAACTGAGTAGGGAGAATTGCACATTCGTAACAGATTTTGCATTACTTTTAGCCAGAAATTTAAAATTGAGGAAAAAGGGAAGGATGGTCTTCCAATCCTCTCTAATTATTTTTTACTCTGAGCATCACTCAAATGATGACTTATGCCCAGCTGGCACAGAGAGTGATCCACCTCAAAACTGCAAATTGTTTAGAATCATAGAATAGAATAGAATCCCTACAGTGCAGATAGAGACCATTCAGCCAATCGGGTCTGCGTGACCTTCCGAAGAGCATCCCAACCCCATAACCCTGCAATAATCCCGGGCAATCCACTTAGCCTGCTCAACCCTAGACACTACAGCATGGCCAATCCACCTAACCTGTACATCTTTGAACTGTTGGAAGAAACCAGAGCACCCAGAGGAAACCCACACAGACCTGAGGAGAATGTGCAAACTGATCGTCAATAGCCGCCCAAGGCTAGAATTGAACCCAGGTCCCTGGTGCTGTGAGGCAACAGTGCTAACCACTGTGCCGCCCCAAGTGTAAGTTGGATAAAATGTAGATTCTTTTACAAATCAGCCAAATCGGGATCAATTCTGATTAGACTTTTGGAGTCAGTGTCTGTCCCTAATGTAAAATTGCCTTCTGACTGCGGCTTAATATGAAAGGTTCCAATCATAGATACATTCTCAGAGATATACATTACCACTATGCAAGGGAAATCTTTCCACCTACTTAGTATCTCTTGCCTGCTTACATCTCCATCCTTTACAATGACTGTCTCCACCCCACTCTCTCCAGCCCAAAGTTTCTATCTGTATGCTCTGAAGTCTGGCTATTTTAATAGATTGTTCCTTGCCTGTTGCTCACCACCCAGTGTCCAACAGGACAAGGCACTGGACATGCTCTTAGGCCTCTGCTTCTGCTTGCTTCCATAGAGCCCGTAGCAGCCAGCATGTGTGGTATGAAACTGAATGGATCAGAAATGCCATGACATATGACTGAAGATTGCTAATTTACTATGGTCGATGGGGTCTACTGTCTAATCAATCAAGCTCAGCTATGAGCAACTTGACACATTGGTGCCACAATCCTCTATGTGCCTTTTCTAGACTAGCATTAACCTGATTAAAATAAACAGGTTAATCACTCTGAAAATAGCACACAGTTTATAGTGTCCACCATTGAACTTCTCTAACAAAAGAAATGTAACCTAAATGCACATCTGAAATTCAATAATAGCTCCATTCCGTACATTTAAGTCCCTTGTTCAGCCGTCACAAGTTTTTTTTTTTTAAAAAGATGCAGGATTCTAAAGAACATGCTTATATTTTCTGTGGCACTCACAGGCTCCATATAATTAACTATCAAAAACAAACACTTGCACTGACAAGCAGCAACCATCTCACAATGATGTGTTCTTAACCCCACAAGTGTCAAAGGCTGATTCAATTGGCTCTATTTCCTGCACAGTGATTAGCAGGCTGTATGACTGATACATGTGAATCGACTGGATTCACACTCACTCCTTACTTGCTCAGGGATTGTAGCAAGTGGTGACAGCTTTCGTTAAATGTCTGTTTTTTTTTTCCTGGTAAAACAAAATTAGGATCATTTTCAATGAACGGAAATTCTGGGGAGGCCTGTCATTTAAAGTATCCTTTACCAGTCATGAGTAAATCATTTCTAGAATAATATTCACACAATTCTGCCTTTCTGAAAGCCCACGTTAGCATACGAGGGCACATTCAAGACTCTGGTGTTGCCAACATTCGAAGGAAACCCTGATCTCTAACATATGTCCTCTTCAAACATGGCTCCTGAATTGGAAGCAAAACAGCACCAAACTAATTCTACAATAGCATAGGTGCCAAGACTCCTCTAATGCTTTATCCCATTGCTTTGATTGCTCTCTTCGACGGTCTTATCCACCTACATTCCTTGAATTCATTTGCCATATTCCAATATCTCTCCGCACCTGCCCCTTCACTGAACTTAAATTTTTGTCGCCATTTACTGCCTACTCTGTGTGTCTGTTCATTTCTGTCTGCATTTTGGTGCAATCCACCACACAACACTGGTCTTATCTATACCATCTTCAAGTGAGGCAAGGCCAGGGGCACCCATTTTTACCTTCCTCACTCCACTCGAGATGTCATCCAGATTGCAGGTCAGGAGGTAGTCCTTCGCAGCTGCGTAGAGTCTTCGGCTGTCTTCATCGAGGATTATGGAGTGCAAGTTGGAAGCTCTGAAACTGAGTGGGATGATCCGTTTGTTTAACATCAACTCTAAAGAAAAGAAAATGTAATTGATTAAAAACCAAACTTTGAGGTTATCAACAGCGTCAGCTTAACATATGCAATGAGGACTGGCACCACCGGAGTTCAATTCAGATTAGACTGGAAGTCTCTTCCACAGCTGATCATAAGGATCCCGGTAAAGGAACTTCGTGGCAGTCTCAAATGAGCTCCTAGTCGGGCCCTCTTGTGATGCAGTCGTACTGTCCCTACCCCAGGACTAAGACACCTGGATTGAAGTTCAACCTGCTGTAGACGTGTGTAATAACATCTCTGACCAGGTTGATTAGAAAAATAGGTTAAATAAAAAAGCTCCTATTAGGGCCCTCTTGTGGCACAGTGGTAGTGGCCACACCCCTGAACTGAGAGACCCAGGTTCAAGTGCCACCTGCATAATATCTCCGAAAGGTTGCTTAGAAGATATCAATAAGTTACTAGTCAAGAAGGCCAATGCCACAAAACTATCCAAATTTTGACGCAAATTGAAAATTTGACTAAATTCATTTAACTACCATTTGTGGGGAATGAAGCAAGCTGCACTGGTACAGGAGATGTGTACAAGGTTGAACCAACAGCATAGGGGAGTCCAAAACTAGAGGGCATAGGTTTTACTTTTTCACACAGTGGTGTGTATGAACTGGTCGAGGCAGGTACAATTACACCACGTAAAAGACATTTGGTCATGTACGTGAATGGGAAAGGTTTAGAGGGATATGGCCCGACGCAGGCAAATGGGACTAGTTCAGTTTAAAAAACCCAGTTGGCATGGATGAGTTGGGTTGAAGGGCCTGTTTCCATGCTGTATACCTGTATGACTAAAGCCATGTAGTTCAGGCAGAGCGGAGGGAGCTTTGCTTGCTGAAGAACTCTGGGCCCATTTCATTCTTCCACATAAGTGTGGAACGCTCAAAGTAATTGTAATGTGATTACAGAATCATTCCAAAGTGTCTATATTCTGTACTTCATATTTGTGTAAGATGAATTCTCACCCTTGCTCATCATGTCGTTTGAACTACCTGATAGATTTGTTGCCACCATCCGGTTTCCTTGTAAGGATCTATAGAGACTGCCTGATCCAGTGCCGAAGAGGAAAAGCACTTGGCATTCAAATGAGAAGAGTTCTTGTTTTAAACGTGATGTAGCTTATTGCCAATCAAGCAGGATGTGTTATCCGCAATAGGTCACTTTCAGAAAATATGGCAACATAGGACACAGTCACAGAGCAGCAGGAAGTGAAATGGCTAGTCACAGAAAGATCATGAGACAGAATGAGACAAATTTGATGCAGGGACAAGAGTTACTATATTTTCAGATTGTGTACCGTGGTTGGAGAAACATAGTTGAACTGCTGTAGGCTGTAAACAATGTGGTCCAAGGTGTTTAGAACTCAAGACTAAATTTTCTACAAGCAACTCTGCAACACAAGAGGTGTCATTTCATAGAGCACTTATATGCACTTCATAATCAAGACTTCTCACTCTTGACCATGGATGCAAAGTCAAATTAGCTAAAGTCAAACCACCATTGGTCAAGTAATAAACATGGAACAATTACGAAGGAAAGGTTAGTCACGGAACAACCTACTAAAAGAGTGTTAGTGGAATATTTCAGAGTTCCCTAGATTCATGGATCAATCCAAAACAGAAGAGAGAATTCATCAAGATTAGCTATAACATCATAAGAAATTTGTTTCATACCATCAACAAGGTGGAAACTTGTGATTATACTGCATTTGCAGAAATGCTTTTCACTACTATTTGCCTCAGGTCCACTGTCTCTTTTTCAGAACCTGGAGTTCCAAAGGACAGCCATTTCAGACTCCAAATATTAACTCTGTTTCTCTCTCTACAGATGCTGCCAGACCTGTTGAGTTCCTCCAGCAATTTCTGTTTCTATTTCTGGTTCATTGTACATGGTGTGTTTCTGCAGCATTAGCAGCAATATGTAAAAGGATAAATTTGAATTGCATTTGGTTTTAATTACAACCAATTTAAACCCACAAAGGATTCAGTGATTCCTTCTGGAGTACTGATTTAGTCAGACTTCTTTGAGTGAGCTGGCTTGTCACAAACAACAGATATTAATAGCTAACTTATAAGAATGTGGCTAAAGTGTAGATGTTAGAAAATTGATTTGGTTGCACAGAGTCGAATGAAAGAAGCAAACTAGATATTGCCAGAAAACAATTTGCTTTAAACTAAAACTTTCCATTTATCATCCACTTCTACTGTAATTAGCAGAATAGTAATAGCCAATAGACAGACAAATGGGTCTATAATGTTGGATGTGGGGCTGTTTCTGCGCATATCCCAAACAATGGCCAATTCACTTGACAAATGTGGTCATTCAGGAAAGCATCAATCACCATGGAGTTAATAAGCTCTTTTGATCTCAACAACAATCGAGGAAAAGCTTTCCAAAATCAGCATGCGGGCTGATTTTTGGAGAGTTGCAAGCTACAAGGGATGAACTCTGCCCAGTGAATCCACCCATGTAGATTAAAGAACAAGCCTGCTAGTTTAGGCTAGTGCATGTATAGCATTGCATGAATAGTAGTTATACCGATGATGGGAAGCTACCAAGAAAAACTGGGAAGTTCTTTTGGGGTCCTGCTCAAGCAACTTCACTAAGAAGGAGATTATCCGTTCATTATCACATTGCTGTTTTAAGCCTACTGGTGCGCAAATTGCCTACTGCAATCCCTACGTTATATGAATGACTACACTTCCAAAGTTCTGTGGCTATAAAGCACTTTGAGAAGTCCTGAGATTGTGAAAGGCTATGTAAATACACATTCTTTCTTTGCACTCTGTGGAATAAAGCTGCTAATAGAATTAGACAGCAGGCCACCTCAGCGGTTGATCCAGGTTTTAATAAATTGAAAAGGTGCATTTGTGGTCTGACCTAGATCCCAGGGAGTTCCCTCATTACCAAACCCATTCTCACCACTGCACTGTGGCCAGCCAAAGGCTAGAGGATTAAAAATCTAGCAGTATCACACTAAAGGGAACAATACACACCACTGGCCTAAAAGAGACACATGGGAGAGACAAATTTGTAGCAGCTTTATTGATCTAAATTGGCTGATTATGTTTTGAACATATGTCCAACTCTGATTTTTGGCTTTTGACTTTGTAATTTTATTTTCCTTACATGGGGATATGGCTCTTATAACAACCATGGAGGGAGTGAAAAATATGCAGATTGTAACATTACATGTGGCTCATAGGATAGAGTGTTAAAGAATGCAAATGGGCAGAGAAGGAAAGGAAGACATATGTAGTCATTGTCATTGCAGAGTGTGGCTTCTTTGGTAAAAACCGAAAGAACTGCGGATACTGTGAATCAGGACCAAAAAAAAATTTCTGGGAAAGCTCCCGACGTTTTGGCAGCACCTGTGAAGAAAAAAAACAGAGTTAACGTTTCAGGTCCGGGTTCTGAGGAAGGGTCACCGGACCCAAAACGTTAACTCTGTTTCTTCCTTCACAGATGCTGCCAGACCTGCTGAGCTTTTCCAGCAACTTTGTTTTTGTCCGTGGCTTCTTTGGTACTTGAATCAAACATCTTGTCTCTCTCAGATTAGAGCATCCTGTTTCTCTGCATCCTGGGACCTTCTTCTCATCCCATATAGCCTCCCCTTCCCACCCACCCTGTTTTATTTACCTCTCTCTGCTGTTTGCCTCCTTTATCCAGACTTAGTTCCTGGCCTGTCAATCACTGCCTCTGCACATGTTACCCACAAATAGCTTGGTAACCCCATCTCCATAACACAACCAAGATCTTAGTCTGTGTTAAAGTACAGTTAGAACAACTGGTGAAGCTGCAAGGTGTGTGTCTAATTTTTTTTTATGGTGGCATCATTGTTTGACAAATCTTCTGGTCAATTAAAAAGAACAGATCCAAATTTGTAAGTAATACGTTGGTCTAAACACAACTGCTGATGATACATGAAAGGAAACAGGAAACAGGAATGTTTCTCTTATTAACCATACGGGAAGGATTGGAAATTTTGCTTCAGAAAAATTGTTAGCATCAATTGCTCTGTGCCTTTGTTCAGGTTCGCTCACTATTATATAAAAGATTATGTTCAACATAAACCTTCACTTGACACAGAATGGAAAATGAAACTGCCAAACAGAAAATCTCTGAAATAGAAAGAAAGAGAAAATATTGGAAATGCACAGAAAGTCATTTAGCACCAGTGAAGAGAAAAATACAAGCTCTGATATTTTCAGTGACTAGCCACCACCTGAAGATTTGAGGTACTTTGGTAAAGTTTGGAAAGAAATGCAGATAAAGGAGCCAAGGAAGACAGAGAATGTGGAGGGTGAGAATAGAGTCGTGAAAGAACCAACAGATACAATCAACCACAGGAGATGGATTAAAGGATTTTCAAACTTAGAAAATAATTAATATTAAGAACAAAATACTATGAATATAATGGGGGCAGTCCAAAGAAGACTCACATGGCTGATCCCAGAAATGGAGGGATTGTCTTATGAAGGAAGCTTCATTAGGTTGGGCCTGTACTCATTGGAGTTTAGGAGAATGAGAGGTGACCTTAGTGAAAGATACAAGATTTTTTTTTTTTAGGAAGAATGGCAAGAGTAGATGTGGTGTTTATTTCTCTTGTGGGAGAGTCTAGGACCAGAACACACAATCCCAGACTAAGGGGACTCCCATTATATACCAAGATGAGGAAGACCTCTTTCCGTCAGAAATGTGCATCTTGTTATCTTTGTGCACTTTTTCAATTCAACTCCTAATTCGAGAGGCATACGGTTAACTCACATAAATTGAGCATAACATGGTAACCAAGGCCACTTTGCTTTTCAGCTGGCAACTGGAACATCAGACAGGGGGCAAAGAGGTAGCAAAAGGTCAGGTTTACAAGCTAACTTGTCACAAAAGGACTGTGTTAAATGTATCCCATCAAAAAAAATCCTTTATTTATGATATGCAGTAACTCAGCTTGAACAACAAAATATCCC